TCAATTTGCTTTGCGTCACCCGATTGTTGCTATTACTTGATTAAGGTAAATAATATTATTATGTTTGGCGGTCGATAATGGGACTATATATAGGTTGAATTAGTCGGGTTGATGCATTTAAATAATCCAACGTAATGTTGTTATTTGAAACAAATTTGTTTAGGTTCCTATTTCAATTACCAACTTCAACACTTTTTATTTTGATCTAAAAATGAAACTTGCGAATAACTTAAAAGCCTGACAACTTATAATTCATGATATAAATACATTTTGTTTAAAAGATAGAATATTATTTTAATGTGTATGACAAAAATGTTATGTCATAAATATATATGGTCCAATACAAAATTTGGATGTTAAAAGTTGAAAAATGTGTTTTTCGTTTTCAACATAAATCATGATATACATGAAATAAAACCTATGTAACTATTGCTTCAATAAAACCTTATGTAATTAAGATTTGGGTGGGGCCGATTTCAAATGGGTCATTTTTATAATTGGGTTGGTAGCTTTGAATTTCCATAAGACTTTCAATTGTCCTTTAAACCGTCATGTTGTAACCAATTCGGGGCGAGCCCAGACTGCAATTCTCTACAAATTCCATTGATGAGTGATGAATGATGATGACGACGGGTTTTGCATTTTCCCGAACAATCAGACCGTAAACTTTCCCGACCGAACCCACTTTAGCCATCTTTTTACCGTTTCCGTTGGGTGAATATTTTGTACAAGTAAAAGAAAATTATTTGGTGTGTTAAAAAAAGAAAATAAAACAAAAACGAGTGTCCATATTGGCGATAAGGCCCAATAAAGCCCATGCAAGGCCCAATAGAGATCGAAAAAGTACTTGCTCTCGTTGAGAGTCGAACTCAAGACCTCCCGCTTACTAAACGGGTGCTCTAACCAACTGAGCTACGAGAGCTTTGAATGCTTATTTAACAGTTCTTTATTTGAACAAAACTTAACTCTTCTTTCTTCTACAAAATTTACCATCTTTATTTGTTATTTAAGTAATCATTAATTAAAATTTTAGTTTACAAAAAATGTGTGTCCATAGATATATCTATATTATATTATTAAGCAAATTTAGCAAAAGTCTTAAAGTATTAAAATTCTAAATGACCAAAATACCTTTTATACTCACTTTTTTACTTTCTCCTCTCCTCACATACACTCACCCTTTCACAACCATTTTTTTTAAATTATAATTTCAAATTTATACTTTATACCTCTATAATTAATTAATTAATTAATTAATTTACTTTACGTCCTTTACTTTTAAATTTTTCATTTTAAACATTTATCAAATTAACATACATAATTGTATATCAATTAAAACATGTTTAAAAAATATATATTTGTTTTAACAAGTTACACCATTATAATCGTCTCGTTAATACCTTCGAAATGAGTCCAATATTGAATAGTTTTTTAATTAATTATAATATTATATATTATATATACTGTGAAAAAATATTTTTAATATTTACGATTTATACTTTTATAGTTATTTATTTATATATATACTATATATTTTGGGGTTAGGCTGTCCAAATTGCATTGTATAATATGTTTTAAATTAATATGTTCTTGGATTTTTTTGAAATATATATATACATGTATTAATTCAATCTTAATCTGAGTTTCTGGACAAGAAATAGGGTAAGCGGTTGAAATTTCATTCTAAAACCCATCTTTTTTTGTATTTTCATGGCTTATGATATGTTAAATTTGTAGTTTTCTTTATTGGTTTTGAGTGTTTATCTTAAAACTCAAGTTTCTTGATTCTTTGCTTTTGGTGTAAATCGAATACATTTGTGGAGTCGTTTAAATATGTTGGATTTTAAATATATTGGATTTTAAACTGTCATACAATTTTTTCCATCGATAGTCTGTAATTGGAACCATAACTCTTATTTATTCAAATTGTATTAATATGTAAAGAACAAATGTGACCTATATCATCGTTAAATCTTATCTTATAAAACCAGTGAAACTTCAAAATCGTTAAAATTCATGGCTCCCGACGCATTGCACAGATACACAACTAGTTAACTATTTAAAGGCTAATACCACTATATAACAATTAAGTTCACTAATGTCCATTGCTTCTTTTATAAGTTTACAAGGGTGGTGTCTTGCTGGTTTGAGTTTGGCTCCAAAGATCAAAAGTAGCAGAAGGTCTCAGGTTCAAATCCAAGGAGAAATAAAAACCCTTTTGTGGCCGTGGAGGTTCAAATGCGGTGACTACGGGCTATCTGCAAAGCAATTGGTCGTACTGGGATTAGTCGACTCGCATAGCGCGTTGGATTCCCAGGTTAATAAAAAAAAATTACTCCCTGAACTTTTTATATAAATCTTAGTGGTGTAAAAGTAAGGGGCTATTTATCAAACTCTTATCAGGTAAGCGATTATAGAGTGTCATCTACTTTACCAGTAAGCATGATAAATACCAAGAATCTTACTCGATAAGAGTTGTAACAAGGATCAAGAATCTTACCGGATAAGTTAGTGGGGGAAAAGACTCTTACTCCAGTAAGGCTTACCGAATAAAAGACATTTATCCACAATCCATTTTAATGGCCGAAAATGTTACCAGTTACCTGACAAAGTAAATGAAGATGATGACTCTTGTCCATGAACATTTATATGGTAAGTATTTAGTAAATGATCTCTAAGTCTCATTTTTGTCACAAAAAATGACCATAATACTATTATAAAATTTAGGGAATATATCTATGAAAAAACCAAAATCTCAAATAAAATTTAATTTAAGATATAAAACTTAAATAATAAAAATGTGTACCAAGTACTAATTAGTCGTCCAGTGCAATTTTTTTGGCAAGATTGCTCCAGCAACAAACTACACAACATCTTCATACAAAATTGATTCACACATATGTCAAAATGCCATGATGGTAATATAATCAAATTCACAATAGATATGTTGGGAGTTTAGCTCGAATGAGAAGGTTGAGATAGGAATTTGAACCTTTGACCTTCAGAAAGGTTGAATTCTACTGATAATCAAATATTGTTAGAACAAGGGTCTTTTAATAAGTCGTAAATAATGTTGAATCGGTAGAAGAGTTTTGAGTTTGAAGTATCTAATTAAGATTTGCAGGAAAAAAAATAAGCTTCATATATAACAACCAAATATTAAAACATTGGAGAATACTAATGCAATTGATTTTTTTAAAGGTAACTAGAGTCGTACTCGCATCGTGCAGCGAGATACATCTTGATTTTAATGTTTCGTTTTATATTTTGGCTCTATCGATGTTATAATACAATTTTATGTGGTTTTAAGAAAAAATAAAATGTTTTTATTTTTGAATGAAATATTATAAATTTTTAAAAAAATAAGCGAAATTAGTATTAAATCAACTATTTAAAAGTCCTATTTTTTATGTAATTTTTTTAATTTATTCTTTTATTATAATTTAATTTAAGTTTAATAATGAAATAATTTATTTTTGGTTTAATATTGTAAATTTTATAAAGATAATAATTAAGTATTATGTTAGAATTTAATGATTATACTAATTTTATTTTAGATTTTTTATATTTAAAATGAGATGTTTATCATGTATTTGATTGTGTTTATCTGCATTTAGTTACACGAATACAAATATGAGATGAAATCGGATAGGGATGAAATCGTTTAGGGATGAACGGGTTTAAGAGTTTTTAAGAGTTTTAAGAGTTTTTAAGAGTTTTAGCCAAATGCTTTATAAGATAGTATAGATAGTATAGATAATACAATTTCACAGTAAAGTAATTAAAAATAGATTTTAAATTCAAATTCAATAAATATAAAATNTAATGCAACGAGATACATCTTGATTTTAATGTTTCATTTTATATTTTGGCTCTATCGATGTTATAATACAATTTTATGTGGTTTTAAGAAAAAATAAAATGTTTTTATTTTTTAATGTTATAATTTTTTTTAAATAAGCGAAATTAGTATTAAATCAACTATTTAAAAGTCCTATTTTTTATGTAATTTTTTAATTTATTTTTTTATTATAATTTAGTTTTAAGTTTAATAATGAAATAATTTATTTTTGGTTTAATATTATAAATTTTATAAAGATAATAATTAAGTATTCTGTTAAATTCAATGATTATCTTAATTATATTTTAGATTTTTTATATTTAAAATGAGATGTTCATATTGTATTTGATTATGTTTATTTGCAGTTAGTTACACGAATTCAGATATAGAGCTTTAATAAGTTGTACTTATACACACTCTACTTGCAATCTTTGAGTTTTAAGTAATATGCATTAATAAACAGTACTTTACGCATAAAAATGATTTTTAAGAGTTTTTGTCAAATGCTTTATAATATAGTATAGTTTATTTTTGAATGAAATATTATGAAATTTTAAAAAAATAAGCCCAATTAGTATTAAATCAACTATTTAAAAGTCCTATTTTTTATGTAATTTCTTTAATTTATTCTTTTATTATAATTTAATTTAAGTTTAATAATGAAATAATTTATTTTTGGTTTAATATTATAAATTTTATAAAGATAATAATTAAGTATTCTATTAAATTCAATAATTATCCTAATTATATTTTATATTTTTTATATTTAAAATAAGATGTTCATCATGTATTTGATTATGTTTATCTGCAGTTAGTTACACGAATTCAGATATAGAGCTTTAATAAGTTGTACTTATGCACAATCTATTTACAATCTTGAATTTTAAATAATATGCATTAATAAACAGTACTTTACGCATAAAAATGGTTTTAAAGAGTTTTTGTCAAATGCTTTATAATATAGTATATACTAGAAAAAGTGAAAATGAAACGTACAAATTTATTCAAGTAGTATTGGGCTAAAGTGAACAATATTAAAACATAAAGGTTTAAATGTAACATTTATGAAAACATCAGGGATGTGTATGGATTATAGCAGTATATCAATAACGTACCCCTTATATATACATTGGAGCCCTTAGCAGGAAAGTTTGGTGGAGAGTTCCTCTGCTCTCTCTCTCTCTCTAGAAATTACACCTCTTTCTCCTCTGAAATCAAAGCTATACATACACAAAATCTGTATTTCTACACGGATGATCAAATCCATAACCGGATTTTGCCTAAAAAGTTGGGGATTGTTTCTTATTTGAGGTAAGTTTGGACGTTTATTTTCTGGATCAACGAAAATGGACCCAAATTCATGGGCTCGTCTCTCTACTTATAACTCTTCTTCCAGGCGTTATCCATCTCGATCAGGTTTGTGTTTTTTCTTTGTTAATTTGATTTGATTTTTGTGAAATCGCGTGACAGATTGAATTTTTTTTAGGATTTCACTGTTGTTTACTTTGATTTTTAAGTGTATATCTAGTTCTGCAATTAATTAATACAGATTTATTCGATGTTACAATCGATGTGTTATATTTGTGTGTCTTGCGATTTTTCACTAACAAATGTAAAGGAAATTGTTGTGGTATCTACCCACGTTCTTCTAAAAAAAATCTAGGGTTTCCATTTTTATTGTGTTTTATGGGGGAAATTGTGATTATTATATATGCACTCTCATACACATATAAACACGTTTCCATGTGAGCAGTGATCGACGATGGTGTTATCGTTGTGCTTTTACGGGGAAAATTCGATGACATCATTCGTCTGTTGTTCTGTAAACTATTCTGGAACATTTGATGTCAAATATGATAGTAGGTAAGTGAAGAATATGTACATCATGTGATTGTATTAGTCGCTCAATTGGATCTGGAAGATGAAATGGAAGTTTGAGATTTTAAATTTGAATATGGAAAATTTGAGTGTAAGAAATTTTAACAATAAAGAGAACAAGTCTTCAATTTGAAACCGGATGGGTTGGCTACAATACGAGACTTTTAAACTAGCATGAAGAAGTGAAGTAATCAATGAATTCTTGGACATGGATAGCTTGTGGTCATGCTATCCAGTCAAGTTCTTTGGTACATTTTTTTCTGAGAGGAGTTCTTTGGTACATTTAACATCCCAAATTTCTATTCAAGATCTTTGACATACTCAGATATCCTTTTCTACTCCCATCTTCTTTTTCCAAGCTTCCTTTTCTAGTTGCTGCATCCAAATGTTTATGCTGGAAATCAGATGACAAACATTGTTGATGGTTAGTTACTTAATCTAAGGCCTTCGGATAAAAAATGTCCCTCCATTTGGAGGTTTACGGGAACGCTTTGGAAGGTAAAATATTTTTGAGATGAATATGTGGCTCTGGGACATAGGATTAGAAATGTGGATATACAAGAGGATGTTGGGGTGGCATTGGTTGAGAAGAAGCTGAGGCAACACTGTTGGAGGTGTTATGGAACCTTTAGTCATCTCAAACGTGGATTTCTAAATCTACTGGATAAAAGACGTACCAAGAAAAGGGATGTAATTAGAGGTAGATATTGACGAGATTAACATGATGGCATTGGTAACTAGCTAATATCTGTTGCATGAGTGGTGTATAATCTGTTGCATGAGTGGTGTATACTGTATACTAACAGAGTTTTCTTTAGATATGGGTTGTATGAGTGCATGGAAGGACACAATTCATGTCCAAAAGCCTAGGGCAATTATCTAATTATGTTTGTTCCTGGATTGCACCTTCTTACATGTCTTTTAGCCTATCCCAATTAGTTTGGGATAAATGACTTGTTACATCGCACCGTGTTGCTCCAACATCCTAAAGGATATTCTGTTTTTTTAATATAAAAACAATCCATCTGTCTCTGGCTGTTGGCACAAGTTCACCTTTACATTCACATATTATCTTCTGCACTGAAACTTGCGTTTATATAGTTTATTTCATCGTGCTGTTGTTTGACTGCTCTATATCGCTTGGAAAATTTCTTTCTTATTGATTTTGATGTAGTGAAATTCATTTTGATTCTCACATTCATGTTTCTCAGCAGATGCATTTCATCTCGTGGAAGAAACTGATGGTGATGACCCAAGGCCTGAGTATTTGTGCCCATTCTGTGCGGAGGATTTTGACATTGTGGGTCTTTGTTGTCATATTGATGAAGAGCATACAGTTCAAGCAAAGAATGGGGTATCATTAGCTTTTATTGCTTTCTTTTTTCATTCAACTAACCTCTGAAATGTTATTCATCATCTAATTTTTTTGTACATTAGTTTTGAGATGTAAAAAATTGTAGAACTCTATCTAGTATACAAATAGTACTCTATGTGAATTTGTTTTTTTAAAACAAATATGATATGGGAATTTTTTTTTTATAATTTCTAAAGTTTTGTAATTCTTTAACAAGCATGGATTTTATAGGTGATTAAACATGAAATAGTAACATCTCCAAGGTTTTTTTTTTCTTTTTTTATTGTATTTGGTTAGGGCTGGTATTCTCTTCTGTAGCATTTGTTGCATTGTGGAACGTATCTTGTTCCTTTTCAGTAGCATGCTTGCATACTAAGCTTGTTTTTATGCTATAAATGCAGGTGTGCCCGATATGTGCAAAAAGGGTGGGAACTGGTTTGGTTAGTCATATTACCATGCAGCATGGAAGTCTTCTCAAAATATCCTTCTATTGAAGTCATTCCTTTATAACATTTTGGATGCTTTGCTTATAATTACAGTTTATGTTTTATCCTGGGTAACGTTGGAACTTATTTAGGTTCTCTCTGTTCTGGCTGTTTATCATTTGCATTTGGTGGGTTATGTTCATATGTTTGAGAAGAGAAGTGAAGATACAACAGAAAATGAAGACAATCTGTCCATTTTGTGGGTCCCATTGATATTGTAACGTTCATTTACTTTTAGCTTTGCAATAGTCTCTTGGATTTCTACTTTCAACTTGTGGGATTGTTGCGTTTCCTTGACTAGATATCACGTTCAACGCAAGAGGAGGTTCCGTAGAGTTGGACCCAACTCAACTCTTTCTATTTTAAAGAAAGAGTTACGAGAAGGAAACCTGCAGTCTCTTCTTGGAGGTTCTTCATTCTTGGTCCCATCGTCCATGAACACAGAGCCCGATCCGTTGTTATCTTCTTTCATGCACAATACTGCTGTTGAACCGTTACAAGATCTCAATCATTCCTCTACTGTGGAAATGTCCATAGTAGAAAGCTCAAATAAAGACTTGTCAGCAAGGTACGAGCTATGGCAATTCTTGAATTAGAACAAATCTCTATTCTTTGTCAACAACTGATGGAAAATGCAGGTGGTAAACTTTTATCATTTGTAGTTCTTATAATATTTTTTCTTTAATAACCTATTTTGCATTTTGTTTACTTGGCTAATCTTCTTTGATTTCGTTTTTTACATATATACTAAAAAGAGGACAATGGTCAATAAATTGATAGGATGATGTTTTTAAAGAGACTTATTACTTAGGCTGGAGAGATTCACTTGCACCATCAGCCGGAGTTTATCTGGTGAATCTTTACTGATATGAGGTTGTAAATATATATTGCAGGAGTGAAAAACATCAGGGTGGTAGACTTTCTGGTGAAGATGAGGAGGAGAAGGGTCGGCGAAGTGCGTTTGTGCAAGGGCTGCTGTTGTCGACTTTCCTGGATGATGATTTATAAGCTACATGAAACCACTGCCTAATATCCAGAGTATCCATCGTATCTAAGTAAAGATCGACAAGAGAGGTACCACGTGCTGAATTTCCATCGCTAGATGGTGTAAACAAGAGGAACGCAAATCTTGTAATGTATTAAGAATCCAGATATATATGATGCTTAATTCATAATAGATACATGCGAACTTGGCTGCTTATGTGTTATTGTTCTGGACCCAAGTCTATATTACCTCTGGGTTCGATCTTGATAGGCTTGATCGGACCAAGATGTTCATGGGGATCTAGTTGCTTCGGTTTGAGGTTAGAATCCCTTCGTGGGTAATAAGTTAATTTACAAAGGGTAATAATTTTCTACAGGTGATCAAGATTTTATTCATTTACGAAGGGTAGTAATTTTTAAATAAATTTTCAACATGATTCTTTAAAGTGAAAAAAGTACAAATGTTGAAAGTCGAATCTTGGCATGAGCAAAAGAGACCGGTCGACCTAATTTGCAAACATGTACAAGATTTGCAGCGACCTCATGTTGTTGAGAAAAGAGAGACCTAAGGTCACATATGAGCAAATAAGAGACTTCCAAGCTTGTGTCGTTACAGTATTATGTGGGTGTTGCTACAATATTACTTTTTTTGGCTTAATATTATTGATTAGGCATTTAAGACATTAAAAAAAATCCAGACATAAGAAAATTTGGACCATTATAAATCATGGCGTTCAGTAAGTGTGTTGTTTTACATGATTCTAAAAACGGATAGTTTCTCTTCCAAAAATAACGTCTTCCGTCAAGGAATGCATTAAATATTTACCAAAAAGGTCCAAGACGGTAAATGGTCTCGTAAGAATTAAAGTTTGAGCACAGTAAGCTCCCTATACTCGAAATACACCATGAAATCCAGATTCATCATGGCATCTCCAGCCACAAGAAAAAGCAAGGCTAATAATTAGTTTGAATTTAGCACAAAAATCATTAGTTTACACAGTTTGTACACACACTACTACTGTACTAAATCAAACAGCAGCCCCAACATGGACTATTGCTATCACCAAAAACAAAAACATTTCGTCAGTTTTACTCCTTCCTATCTCTTTCTTTCTTTTACCACCTACTTTCACCGCCAAAACTCATGGTTTTTGAAAAACATGAAATCCGGGTGATACACATTCAAATTCCGCAGCCAGTTTTCAGTCGACTGCATCAGGGAGTTCACTTTTTCGGTACCATGAATCCCACTTTGGGTCCAATCGGAACTCTTGAACTTGTAAACAGCCAGTCCAAAGATTGGCAACAATATCCGCCACACATCATCAACCTCAATTACACTTGACCCATGAGCCCCATCCACACCTGGATCACACAAAATTCACAACCTTAGATCCAGTCCATCAACTATTAAAACACACTAAAAGATACAAGCTTTATAACCACCAAGATTTCAATCAGAGATGCAAAAAGAGAGAGAGATGGAAGGATACTTCTTGAAGGTGTTGATAGAGAATGGAAAGTTAGGAAACTGGCATCAAGATTCTGCAGAGATGGACCCACAGGTATTCTGTATATGGGATACCAAGCAACTGAAACCCAACTTGATTGAGTCAGATCACAGCTCCTATATGTTTTCAGTTCCGGAAACTTTGATGCAAGATCCGATATCTATTCACAACCCATAATCAAATAATAATATTAGTAATCAAGTGAATTATCATGGGAGCATCAAGTATATCTCAAACATCTATAAATAAAGGCAGGATGACAAAATCCTGCGGATCCAAGTGTTTGATTACACCCTTCAATAATATCAAGATACAGGAATGTTGTCAACCCAAATTAGTACAACCGAATCATTGTAATGATGACAATCAACAGAAAGTGACTTTAGATAAAGAAAGTAGCTCAGAAAGAAAGTGTTGCACTTTTCATGGATGGAGGGACTAAAAGATATGCATATTTCAATGACCATTAACAAAATATCTTGAATACCTTTCAAAAAAAAGGCAGAGGTTTTGTGGACCAAATTCATTTGAACAACTGTCGTTAACAGTCAAATAAGTATATTTGTTGTTAAAAAAAAGTTACCCAGAAAGAAAATCTTGCAACTTGAAGAGATGGAAGTGTGCCACATATGCACAACTATCAACCAAATATCTTATATATCCTTCGATAATAACAAAAAGTAGAATCATATGGACTCAGTTAAGAATCAACGACTGTTATGAAGATGACAATCAGCAAAGCAGCAATTTTAGAGAATACCAACACTTTAAAGACAATCAAGTATCTATTATTGTGGACCCAAATCAGTATCAAAAGATCATTGTGAAGATGGGAATAGAGAAACAAGTAAATTTTCAATTAGAAAGGATCGCCCTAAAAGAAAACGCTAAAATTATCAAAGAGAGGTGTGGAGGTATAGAATATGCAAACTTGAATGACTTGCCTTGTCAGCTAAAGGTGCACGATGATAAGGTAAAGCACGCTCAAAGTATTCAAATATCAAAAGCCCAGGTGGGTTTCTAATCTCGCCTTCCTCAATGCCATCTCCCGCAAAAGGATCACTTCTGAGCATGAGTTTATTAAAACTCTCTGCAATAGAACCAACGTTTTCTTGAACTCGAGGTCTAAGACCAACTGATCCAGGCTCATAGCTTCCATCACTACTCGTCGCTCTTGATGAATCAGAGTCACTTTCCTCACCAGGCCTTCTGTTCAAAATATAAAGAATTTTGTCAAGTTATAGAATTACCGTATTGGAGAATTACCCTTCGATAAGAGGCTTCTTTAGGTAAGTCTATGATTGCTGGTCCAAATATTTCAACCAGACAACCATAACAAAATGTAGACTTGCAATATTTTACTCAAAAGTCATTTGAACAAAACCACCATAACAAGAAAAAAACTGAACTAGTTTTCTCAATTCTGGGCATCAAAAGGATCACTTTCAGGCCAAGGTTTAAATGCATCAATTGGATTTCAAAGGCAATAAAATACTACAGGGAGATAATTCATGGTCCTAAATGTACATAATTTAAAAAAAGCATCAAACAACAATCTAAATAAGATAGATTGACATAAAATAAAACAAATGGAGAATTAAACAATCCATTATCTCAACATAGACGTGCATGTTATAATTTGCACACTTGGAATTTAGGTGCATAGAAGCCTTACCAGAGAACGGAAGAACATAAACAGCATTAACAATACATACAATCATCAATGAACAAATGTCATTGAAATGAGAAAGAATGAGATGTAATACACATGCTGGAAACCCTGCAACCCTGCACCTAACATTTTCGCCTTGTGGGTGAGTGGGTCCCATTTATATGGTGTGAAATGAAAGAAAGATGAATTACAGATCCAGTTTATCTGATCCCGGAATAAATCAACCGGAATAAATCAACAGGGGATCCACCACAGAGAATAAGAGGAAAATGATGCAGATGATTGTAACCTAAACCGCTGTAGCATATATTGCAAATACCACTTAGCTTACTGAACCGCCTAACAACACACAATCAAACCTTGATGTAATATAACGAATCTGTATTCAAACTACTGATAAGGTATCTAGAATTTGATTCAAACCACAGACCACTAAATCAATTTATCAAACGTTCAGCTTGAATGACACCTCCTCTCTGCTTCCTAGGTATTCAATAGATAAGAGGAAGGAGGTTTCCAGGTTCAAGCCCCTTTCTCCCCTTGTCCATTAAAAAATATCCTTAGTAAACAAAAACTCTAAAGAAACCCACCTTATGCTTGTTACGGGTGCTGATGGATCTACATATAGCTGAATGGCAGACAAATATGGCACATAGTATTGCACAACAGAGTCGCTTTCATTCAACACAAGAGGAACTCCAGCTCCATATGCGCTCCATTCCTTTAAGGATTCCCAAAGATCACCAAGTATGAAGTATGGGTTGTAATATTTATCTTGATCCCTCCATCCCTTCATGCTAGTCTACATATCTCAAGAAAACAATAAATCAAATCATCTTTTTTACACCATCTAATGAACTGAAAGACACAAAAAACCTCCAATTAATCTTTTTGGCAAAAAATGCAGTTCATATAGCAATTAAATATTCTGAAAGATGAGTTTATGTCATGCAAGAAGCATCTAGATTTACAAATCAAAGTAGCTAGCTAGATATTTGTCAAGTTAACTATAAGGTTTCTCATAAACAAAGAGCATCTAATTGCTGAATAGAATGGATCCTCCAACCTAACAGCAAACAGAAACCAAAGACTCCATCAAAGTGACTCAGGAAAACAACATCAAGTATTGCAAAATCCATTTGAAAGTCCAGACAACAAACAACACACACCATTCACGGTACTTCATGTTTATGGTGATCCACTTCACGAAATTACAGATAGTCGCAAAATAAAAGATCAAGAATAGCTTAACTGAACGTCTTATGTTAAAATTATCCAATTAGAAGTCCCTTCATTGGAAGCAACAGATGTAAGCAATCAAGAAACCCCAATAACAAAGAAAGTTATCGTTTCACAAATCAACTATGTGAATGTTAATACAATAATTGACCCATTAGATAGCATTTATAACTCATAACATTTCAACATATACTGCAAGCCAACCTTCAATTTAAACCAAAGCCCATCAGTAAGTTTCACAGCAGGAATCTCACATTCTGTCAAATTTGAATAACCAGCAAATGATGCATTTGGACAGGGTGTAAACATACACAGACAATGAATTTAAAAAATGATCAATTAATCTAATGCCAAAATTTCACATTATGTCGATTACCCATAACTCATCAAGAAATGCAGGGGAACATCGTCTTTATGATAGTTTTCTTAAATCTTGTTTCGATACCTTAGAAAAATGCTGAGCCGTGACAATTGGAGTCGTGTGCTTCATGAACCGATCCAAATTAGTCGTCACGACACTAATGTTGCTACTCAGCAAAGACTCAGATTGCTGCTGCTTTTCCTGATGGCGTGGGGGTTGTACTTTCTGCTCTTCTTGTTGTACTTGCTTCTGCTGTTGCTGATTGTACCTTCTCATCGCCGGTGGGCTGTAAAATCTGTCCTCTCGGACCCGACTCCGACCCGAATTCGACATGAAACAAATTTGAGGGTTTCAAGTGGTGATCACGACAACCCAGATGGAAAATATATACAGATATAAACCTGTATATATATATTCTATATGCAATACGATTTTACGTATATCAATGAACGTTTTTGCATGAAACTGATGGACTCTTCAATCGAATTAAAGGGGTTGTTTTTATCGAAACTCAGGAATTGGTCTCTTGTAAAGCTTCTGGTGCGATCGAAGTTTTACGAAATTCTTTAATTAGGGTTTTGGAGAGAGAGAGAGAGAGGGAGAGAGAATTGAAGAGGGAGGGAGAGAGAGAAATGGTCTGAGGGAAGGTTATTGTTTTGACGAGTGGAAGACGAAGGGACTAAACCGACTAAAATTGAGGGTGCACTCTTGCTACCGTGTGCCTTGTCCCAATGGATTATTATTTACTTCACTTACCAAAGTGACCTAAACTTCTGTTCACGAGAACTCGCATTACATATAATTACATAAATGGTCCTCAAACTATTTTTTAACTTATAATTTTTCCACTTAAAGTTTTCAATCTTACACTACAGTCCCTGAACGAATGTGTAAGCATATAACTTGAACTTCTTTGTAACGGTTTTCTGGTAAAAAATGGTCTTTGGGGTTACTTACTTTGAAAATAAAATGTGCAATTTTTTATTTTTTTATAATTATGGATTTTAGGCTAATATACACGTATGTGGATTAATCTCATTAGATTTTTTTTAGTTAGCATGCACACAAACACTTCAATAACACTAAAATTTCATTCGTTCTAAGAGGGTGTTTGGTTCGCAGATTTTGAAGAAATCTGATGGAATTGGAATTGGAATTGGAATGTTGAATTTCATTGACCAAATTTCATTCTCTCGTTTGGTTCATTCTTTTTCACGAAAGTAGTAATTAAAATCCTACAAATTCCATAAATAAAGGAATTTAAGTTTTTCTTAGCAACTACATGGTATTTTTGATGGAATGGAATTCTCAATCTTCATTATACAAATTATGCCCTAGACTCAATATACTATAATCTCATAAAATCCAATACGACCATCGTCGACCACCGTTAATCTGAATCACCGTCAACCACCGCCATCTGAATCACCGTCAACCACCGCCTTCTGAACCACCTGTTGACCATCGTCATCTGAACCACCAATTTGAACCACTGCCGACCACCACCGACCTGTACCACTGCCGACCACCACTGACCTGAACCACTGCCGATCTGAACCACCACTGATCTGATCCACCACATATCTGATCCACCGTTGATCTGAGCCACCGTCGATCATCGCCATCTAAACCACCATGGACCACCACCGATCTGAACCATTGTCGACCATCACCATCTGAACCACCATAAACCATCATCGATCTGAACGACTGTCAACTACTATCGATCTGAATCATCGCCAACCACCCTGACCATCACTGATATGAACAACCACCGATTTGATCCACCCCCGATCTGAACCACCGTTGATATGAACCACATTCGACCACCGGCGATATGAACCACATTCGACCACCGCCACCTGAACTACCACTGATTTGAACCACTGCCCAACCATCGGCTACCACCGACGATCTGAATGCATGTCGAACACCGTTGACCACCAATCATTTGAACGACCATTGATCTGAACCACCGATGACCACCTCCATCTGAACCACCGCGGACCACCATTGATCTAGACCACTGTCAACCACCGCCATCTGAACCATTATAGACCACCACCGATCTGAACCACCGCCAACCATCATCGATCTAGTAACATTGTTTGGCTTATGCTTATATCTGGATTGTGTATTTTATATTATTTTATATATTAATTAATTATTTTATTAGAGTATTTTTATTTTTAAAAAAATCATAAAAGGGCATTTCGGTCATTTACCAATATTTTTATTTCAATTCCAAAGCTACATTGTGTGAACCAAACAGACATATTCCAATTCCTCAACAGATTCCATTTTAATGTATGTCAACCAAACAGGTAGTCAAACCTGACAACATTTCATTCCATATTTTCCAAAGTCAAATTTCTTTATCATATCTAATTTCATCCAAAAACATTATGCGAACCAATATCACTTAAGACTGGAAAGCCAAGTTTACCAGTACAGATGTCAACAAGGTCAAGGGTACCAGGGACCCCTATCCCTATTGCCATCCCCACCAAAGAATCGAAGATTTTCTTCGAAGATTCCCATCCTCATTTAATTCACAGATTTCTCCGGTCAAATTGGACTCAAATATCAAATTCTCGGTCGAATAAATGTTTTCTTTGCCATCCTTGTTTACCAAAAACATTATCCTTTTTAACATAGCTTTTGATTTGACATAATTCTACACTTTGAATCAAACCACCGTAACAACACCATCAATTAAGGCATTGGCATTGCAATCATATAATTATACACTCCACCATTGATTAAAACCATCCCCTACTGATTTTTCATAACAAATAATCATAATTTAAAATCTTTAAATAAAATTAGATTCATTTCCATCTGTATCTCTATTTTGAAAATTACAATGTTCTTTATCCTATTAATTTTTTTTAATACAATTTATAAAATATTATCAATCTCACTTCTAAATATTTAATTTTAATGATTCTCATCTATACAAAATAGAATAAGGGCCTATTTACTTGCTTCTTATAGGCTCTTATCTTGGTAAGAGGTGACTTGTTTACCAAAAAAAAAATTTGACCTCTTACCATAATATCATTGCTGACCGTCCTCTTTCCCTAGTAAGAGGTTGATATGTTCCTTACTAGAGTAAGAGGTAACCATCCTGGTTATACCCATCACTTTTGAAAAGAAAAAAAAGGTATTCAACAGTAAGTAATGCATGTTCATACCTTATTCAAACATGACTCTATAAATGTCACATTTGCAACATCTCGTGTATGTGGGTATCAGTTCGGTTCCAACCCCTCCCAAGGAATGAACATCTAGAAAGAAGGAAGAAGAAAGAAAGAAGAAGTGGGTTTTGTCAAACCTCCTTTTTCTATTTCTATGTTAGTGTGCTAGTCGCTATGTGACAATAATTTTTTACCATTATCAACCAATTTTTAATATTTCAATTTTCTTTTATAATAATTACTAATAAAAAATATTCTAAACGTTCAAATTGATCTATAATATTATATTTTAGTGGTATCAGAAAAAATATAACATAACATTAAATGTATCTTCAACTATTTTGATATATTATAACTTTGATTTGGTTCCGATATGCATTATTGTATAGGGTACAAAATAAATTTTTACTTGGTCAGTACTTAATACAAAACATATGATAAACATTAAATTTTTAATCAACACATATTCCAATCAGATCTCTTATCATAATTAGACCTCTTATAATAGTAATCACTTATCTAGTTATCTACAAGTTTGGGCAAACATCCCCCAAGTCATTGCCCTTTTTAATTAATCATTTAAAAAAAAATCTTCAAATTTGAAGATTTTCATCATCTCTATCCTACTTTTTCTATTTTAAATAACTATAAAAAAAATCTCGAACATCTTTATTTTTAAAGAAACTGTTAAAAGAAATCTAATTTTATGATAAGAGAAAAGCATTTACTTTGTATTTTGGTTTTTACCACGTGATATGCATGGCACCTTTGTGTGATGGCCGATGGGGGCATTATTTGATGAGATCGTTTGAAATCTATACTATCTTATAAATCATTTGACTAAAACTCTTAAAAACTCCTAAACCCGTTCATCTCTAAACGATTTCATCCCTATCCGATTTCATCCCATATCTGAATTCGTGTAACTAATTGCAGATAAACACAATCAAATACATAATAAACATCTCATTTTAAATATAAAAAATCTAAAATATAATTAGTATAATCATTAAATTCTAACAGAATACTTAATTATTATCTTTATAAAATTTATAATATTAAACCAAAAATAAATTGTTTTATTATTAAACTTAAATTACATTATATATATATATATATTATAAATCATTTGACAAAAACTCTTAAAAACCACTTTTTATGCGTAAAGTACTGTTTATTAATGCATATTACTTTGTGCGTATGTACAACTTATTAAAGCTCCATATATGAATTCGTGTAACTAACTGCAGATAAACACAATCAAATACAGGATAAACATCTCATTTTAAATATAAAAAATCTAAAATATAATTAGGATAAT